GTGCCTGAAAGCAGATAACTACTGCTCCCTATGGAGTGACTCCTCCCCCCTCCTGCCATAGATCTGTGGTCAAGGTTTCAATTAGAGACAGGGTGCCTGAAAGCAGATAACTACTGCTCCCTATGGAGTGACTCCTCCCCCCTCCTGCCATAGATATGTGGTCAAGGTTTCAATTAGAGACAGGGTGCCTGAAAGCAGATAACTACTGCTCCCTATGGAGTGACTCCTCCCCCCTCCTGCCATAGATATGTGTCCAGGGTTTCAATTAGAGACAGGGTGCCTGAAAGTAGACAGTTACTGCTCCTTATATGGTGAATGTGTCAGAGCAATGACTCCTCCCCCTTCCTGTCAAGGATCTGTGGCCAAGGTTTCAATCAGAGACAGGGTGCCTGAAGGCAGATGGCTACTGCTTCTTATGGCGCGATTAGGACATAACAGTGACTCCTCCCTCCTCCTGCCATAGATCTGTGGCCAAGGTTTCATTTAGAGACAGGGTGCCTGAAAGCGGATCACTACTTCTTATTATGAAGTGAATGAGTCAGAGCCGTGACTCCTCCCTCCTCCTGTTATAGATCTGTGTTCAGGGTTTCAATCAGAGACAGAGTGCATGAAAGCAGATAGCTACTGCTCTTTATGGAGTGAATGAGTCTGAGCAGTGCCCCCCCCCACTCCCCCCTTCCTGCCATAGATCTGAGTTCAATGTTTCAATTAGAGACAGAGTGGCTAAAAGCAGGTGACCAGTGCTCCTTGTAAAGTCACTCCTGCCTCCTCCTGCCATAGATCTGTATCCAAGGTTTCAATTAGAGACAGACTGCCTGACAGCAGATAGTTACTGCTCCTTATATAGTGAATGAGTCAGAACATTTACTCCCCCCTCCTCCTGCCGCAGACATGTCTCCATGGTTTCAATTAGAGACAGACTGCCTGAAAGCAGATACCTCCTGTGTAATACTCTCTTTAGCTAACCCGCGGGGATCCTCCGTCATGTATTGAATGTTTGTAAAAGCGGGAACCTCCG